CTCCGTCCAACCCGAGGCCGAGTCCCACATACAGCAACTAGAAGGATGTGAACCTATGACATACAACTATCTACTGGGGCTTTGGGGGGAAAAAAATGAATAAATAAAATCTTTAAAAAAAAAAAAAAAAAAGAATGGCCACAGACAGCCCAGCTAGGGCTAGACATTTGAATATACCACACAAAGGAAATATAGGACAGCCTCTGCCCTTGGGGAACTTCTTATCACTTGGAGATAAGATATGTCAACGAAAAACCAAAAATAATTGTAAAGATGTTGTACAAATAATTCAGTTCCCCAGCTATTTATTCAGGACCTGCTACGTGCAAGGCCTTCTGTGAGGCACCTGGGTAGGGGACCGGAGAGTTAGAGATGCAGGTAAATAAAGAACTTGCGGTTACCTGGCTGCAGGGGAGGCAGGGTGGCAGGAAGAGGAAGCTAAGTCGGTGGAATATAAGAGCTGACACTGTGAAGACTGTAGGGGCAAGGAGTGGATCAGGGGCTTGCTGGAATTTGGGGGTTGGATAGAATTTTTCTGGGAAAGATACCTGGAGGAGGTGGATAATGTGATGATGCTGGAAAACAGAGGTGATAGAGAAAGAGAAGAAGAAAGAGAGAAAAAGCAAAACCTTTTCACATATTCATCCTTCCAGATCCAGTTCAGTAACCACCTCTTCCATGAAGCCTTCCCAGGCAAAATTAGACACTTCCCCCTCCAGGCTCTCGAAGCACCCCATTACAGAAGCTACCTCATTGCTGCACTTGTTTCTTTACCCGCTGTCTCAGCTCAAGGGCCCTGTACCCGAAGAAGGAAGGAAGGAAGGAAGGCCTTTGACTATAGGAGGGCTGGGTATTGCATTCATGGTTGGGTGTCTCACTTTGCTTTTGTTTATGTACTTATTTTTACTTTTTATTATTTTATTGAAGTATAACTTAAAGGGCACAAATCATAAACATACAGCCCAATGAATATTTACATATGTTTATATCTGTGTAACCACAACCCAGAGCAAACTATAGAATGCTTCTAACACCCCAGACACTGTGGGCTGCCTCACTGTATGGGGTCACTGCCACTGTGGCCAGAGGAGCTGAACCAGTAGGGTGATGTAGATGGGGAGCACTGTCTAAGGAACCTGTGAAAAAACTTCAGGTGTTTGGGCTGGAGAGGCCAAGAGCGAGGGCGAGGCCATGTGCGGGAAGGACTGACATGCACGGAGCTCTTAGACTTGTCCTGTGGGTGGCAGTGGGGAGCCACTGGGAGGAGCACTTCAGTTCAGCATAAAACCCTTCCTGCAAACCAGGGCTGACCCACCTTGGAAGCGGCCTCGCAGCAAATAAGCAAGGTCCCCATCAGCAAGAGGTATGAGTCAAGAGCAGGACCGGCAAGCATTTATCAGCAATGATGCAGTAAGGATAGGAGAGATTACTCCTTCTTCTGCGGTTCTGGAATGCTGTGAGAGTGGGGGAGAGGACTCTGATTTTTTTCCCCCAGAGGATAACTTTTGACTTAATTTACTTAATTACTTACTTTTTACTTAATCACAAGTACTGTGCAGGCCCACCATTATCACTACTGAATAAGTAACTGTCACCTACAAACCGACTGAGCCAGAGGGACCCTGCAGCTCCCCTCCCTGGGGCTCACAGTCTAGGGGGAAATGGAGCAGATGCTGGGGTGCCACTGTGAGATGGGACCAGCACCTGCAAAAGAAGTTGGCTGCCCCACATCATGTCAAGTTGTCATGGGGGCACGCACCCACCCACCTCCTCAGCCCTTTCAGCCCTGGTACCCTTGGTGGGCGAGTGGTCATCTCACGGTTCCTGCCACTACTAGAACACCCAGGCAGAGGTGACACTGTAGGGCCTTACTGCTCTGCCTCCAGGGGCCAGTGCAGGAGCCACATCTTGGCTCCCTCAGGAGCAGGACCACACAGGACCCACCAGCCCCATGTCCACCTGGGGAGAAGGACAGCCTGTAGCAGCTGCAGGCTCCTCCAAGGACTCCCAGTCTGGAGGCTAACACCTTCCCACCCCACCCCAACTCCATCTGTTTTTCCAGGAAAAAAGTAATTTTCCCCAGAACACTTTTTTTCTAGAGGATTATTTCCGATTCCTTCTGAGACTCCTCCAGGTCACCACCCTCTCCTTCCTGCCCCCTCCCATCCCCCAACTAGGAAGAAGGAGAGAGAGGGAGTCTGCACAGAACATCTACCTCATCTTCCTTCCCGCACCTGTCCACTGCGCAGACGAGATGCGGCAGGTGAAGACCGGTTCTGAGGCCCTTCCGCGGAGCTTAGGGTGAAGAACACGGCAAGTTTCTAGGGTTTTCCATCTAAAGGGCAATGTGCTTACCCTTCTGAGGTTCTAATTAAAGCCACGAATACCCTCCCAAGGAAAAAAAGCATGTAGGAGATTTTGCCTTCTATTCCAGGGGAAGATGGGGATACTGTCAGACCCTCGAAGTCCATCCGTGAAGCCCCTAGGTTTAAGGGGGAGGGCTGGAGGTTTCCTCCACCGCCAGAGCCCGGGCCAGGTTGGTGTCCGGCGAGGGCTTGTAGGTCTCCGGAGCCCAGGCCAAGCGCTGCAAGATCGGCTCTCCAGTCTCTCTGCGTACATACAGGACGTCTCGGGCTCTCGGCTTGCCCGGCTCTAAAATGGGCACGCAAGCCCTCCGACCCTGGGGGGGCTGTATAAGGAGGCTGGTGGGAGAGTAGCTGGGTGGGAGAGGGGGTGGGAGTGAAGAGTGGCTCCCGGGCGGCCTCCCGCAGCGGGGGGAGGGGGAGCGTGTGTGTGTTCGAGAAGCAGCGGGAGGCCCGCGCCCTGCCCCGCACGCGGCAGGCGCGGGCCCGGACGCGGTGCCCGCGGGCCGC